CGCGCAAAGGAGGTGGCGCTGACGCGTCATTTTCCCACTGCCCTGACGGGAGCAACACTGTGCCTTTTGAATTCCTATGATCAGTGATTGTGTGTGTCTTTGAAAAGGTAAACCTAATTCTCCCCATGTAATACTTGTATCAGTCTGTAGGGGGCGCTATTGCTGCAATGTCATCTTTTACACTTTCAGTTTATCCAAACCCGAGAGTTGAACAATCAATTGAAATTTTGTGCAAATCGGAATTTCTATGTGCAAACAGAAGGCATTTATGTTGTACAACAGCGTCCCTTACAATTTGAATTTTTTATTCTTATTCCAAAAAACACCAAAATAATAAACTTAATGCCTGAAAAAAAACTTGTGGCAAAGTTTGGTGAGTTTTCGTGTTTGTTCAGTGGGTCAAATATGAGAAAAAACAACAGAAAACCTAAATACTTGTATCCCCATGTAAACCTTTACTCAGTCTGTAGGGGGCAATAATGGGCCAATGTCATTGTTCACACAGTCATGTGACCTAGGCCCAGGAGTTGAACAACCGAGTCAAGTTTAGTGAATATCAGAGTTTGTGAATGTGCTCCTGTTTGCACATACAATCTGTGAGTGTGTCCATACAGTCTCCATTGGATAACATGGGAACTTCACACCTCTCTATGAAAATAACCACACTTTGGGAGTCTGTCACGCGCAGACCGTTTGACTAATTCAAATGCTATATTCTTCTATTGATGGTCCATGTGTTGAGACGATGTGGAGCGATTTTCAGCCAAATTACTGAAACGGCCGCGGCTGGTTTGATGTTTGAACGAGGTGTACTTTTCAGAGATGAAACAATTTTCCCATAAACACAGACAGGGGAGTGTTGGTCGTCACCACGGCAACAGGGTAAAAAATAAGCATATGTTGTCATTGACTTTTTAAATCCAGATGACAAAACAGAATTATGTGCAAAATTTCAAACATTTTGATAAAACTAATTTTTTTTAGGCTCAGGCAAAACTTTGACATAGTCTGGAGGGGGCGCTAATGAGCCAATTTAAATATTTCCACTTTCAAATGACCTAGACCCTGGAGCTGAACAATGGATTAAAATTGTGTGCAAATCCGGCTTGTTTTGTGCAAACGGGAGAAAATTTACTTTTGTCAAAAATCTGAAAAATATGTCACATTTTGCCGCTCCGCTGCTCGGACAACGTTTACCTGATCCAAATTCTATATTCAATAATTGATGGTACATGCGTTTAGACCATGTGGGGCGATTTTGAGACAAATCGGTGAAACGGCCGAGGAGGAGATAATTTCCAACCGACATGTGTGAAAAAGATCAATTTTCATTTTTCCATTTCCCATTGAAATGAATGAGCTCCCTGTTTGTCAGGGGGCGGAGCCATAATAACTTTTTTTTCATGTCTTGACTTGAGGAACATGTGTACCGAATTTCGTTGCTCTACGACAAACTTGACCTCCGACCCGCTCCCATAGGCGCAATGTAAACTGACTTGTGTAGGGGGCGCTGTTCTGTCATTTTTTTAGTCCCATAAAAATAAACACCAAAAAAATAAATTTTTGCCGGTTCTGAATTTTGGGCAAAATTTCACAACTTTTCATCAATGTTCAGGGGGTAAAATTAAGGTTCAAAGTGCAGAAGAACAAATAAATAAACCAAGGATTTTTTTTTTTTTTATCTTCGAGCAAAAACAATATAGGTTTCCATAGTAACCTATAATACAAATTATACGTCGTTTTAAAGGGAACGACGAGGCGAACGCAACTATTGGGTTCTCGGTGATTGAGGTCATAGGACCCCATTGATTACACTGTGTACTACACTGTTTTGTTAGTGTCTGGGCACGCGCCGTCGGGTTTGGTCTCCGTTAGACAGTTGAAAGAACCCCCCTTTATACGACCTCAATCATTTCACTGTTTACTACAGCAGGAGCAAAGCCATTCCGTGCCTCCGGCACGGATTTATCAGTGCTTGGGCACGTGCCGTCGCATGCAGGTCACAATCTCCGGGCGCAGTGACTTATGACAATTACTCGTTGGAAAAGCAATAGGCCCTTACCCCGGTTGGGGCTCGGGCCTAATGAACACAAAGAGGCCTTTGCCCATGGGGTTTAAGATGACCAATGTCCATGAGTGTAAATTAATGTGCAAAAATGTCCAAAAGCATATCCTGGGGTAGTGGCAAAGTGTCGGTAGTCAGAAGACTGGGGGGAGAGCAATGTCGGCATGCCATGAGAATATGTATAACTCCAATATACATGAATCATAATGAAAACAGCTTTGAGTGTGAGAATGACTACAACATTACATAAACCTGAGAAACGTCGATGTTTATGTTATGTCCCCTTTAAGTTACGCACCAGTGCAGAGAGAGGTGTTGCAAGAGGGGAAGCGCTTCAGAGATGGTTTCGAGGTTTAGTTCAACCATATCTTTTCAGAGATCAACTCATGAGCCTTTGCAAGACATTTGCAAAGTCGTGCTTCCAAGTCAGCATCAACTCCTTTCGTCCAATCAGAATGCTCCGCTCCCCACCTTATATTTCCACCCTGCCCACATCCACTCAGTCTTCTCACGATGGTGATGCTGAACGCTGTCCTCCTCCCTGTGCTCTGGACGCTGTGTGAGTTTGAGCAGATCTGCAGAGAAAACTGGGACATTTACAGACTTTTCAGAACCTGTGTGTTGTTTTTGTGTTGTTTTTCAGGTGCGGCTCAGACACGACAAGTCCAGCAGCTCGAATGTTTGAAAAGGGCAAAGCTCGGAGAGACCGTGGTTCTGAAGTGTCTGACCAAGAGTGTTTGGAGGAACAGGGTTTGGTATAAACAAAGCACCAACAGGAATCTGCATCTGATCGCGTCAACAAATATGGCCAATGAAGAAAAAGAGTTTGATGATATTTCAGTCACGTCTACTCCAAATGAAACCAATTTGACCATAAAGAACATGAGAACAGACCATGTCGGCACCTACTACTGTGGAGTACCGAAATCTAATGAAGTTGCTTTTGGATCGGGCACTGTTCTGGAGCTGGATCAGGACTCAGAGCCTCTACAGTCCATGGTTCAGACCCCAGACTGGGTCCCAGTGAAGTCAGGAGACTCTGTGACCCTCAGCTGCTCATTCAACACCAGCCGATGTTCAGGACAAACCAGCGTCACTTGGATTAGAAGTGGTTTGAAGTCTGAGATTATTGAACGTAACTCGGGAAATGAGAATATATTCTGTGGGAGCGCTGGAGAAACTTCTTGTGTTCATAATCTGACTCTGAAAGATGTAAAGTCCAGAGAAGAGGGTACCTACCTCTGTGTGGTGTCCGCCTGTGGACACACTCTCACTGGGACAAGGATCCATGTGAACGGTACGGAAAAGATATCTTATATGTGTCTATTTCACCACTTGAGGGAATTAGGAAGTTACTTCTTTGATAAAACTGTAACAATAGTCAAAATACATTTCTCACAAAAAACTTCCTAGAAAAGCCTTCTATAAGCTCAAGTTTTATTTATTTTAATAATTTCATCCATTGAAAACACATTAGTGGAAGTTCTGTTGCGAGTACACAGAAGATGGAAAAGTACTTAATATTTGTAGTTTGGTATTCAAAGTATATATTTTCTGTCTTCAGTAGAAACCACAGTTCTCTCTGAGGCCGAGCCCTACACTCTGATTGTGTCAGTCGTTGTGCTTGGACTGGTGGTGTGTGTCCTACTGTGGGGGATTTGGAGAAGCAGCCAGAAAAGAGGTACGTTATATAATGCATAAGTGCCATTTCATGTCCACAGAGCAGTGGCCCTTTATCTCACACACTCACACCAGAATATACGTCTTTTTCAGAAGTGAAGCGCTGTGACCATCGGTCCCTCTCCACTCAGGTCAGACTGAAGTCCTGCCTTCTCATCTGTACTACACTTTCTAGACTCTGAACTGTGGTCCAACACCAACATCAAATACTAACTTGCATCAATCACAGCAATTGTTAGAAATTCAGTCTCATAGATTGCAGTGCATTCCTGTAGCCAGTCGTCTGTTACGATGGTCCAGGTCGTCATCTCTGAGGCCAAACATGGTAAATAGTTTACATGGTCCTTCTACAGTCTATAGTCTATTCAGGCCAACCATCAGACACCGGCTCCACCTGAGGTATATGTACCAAACAACACGATGGCCACTTTGGAGCTCGACCTTTCACTGTCCAGGGATTGTTCCCACTCATAATTAGAGTAAATGAGTCATCAGAGGGCGACAGTAGCTCAGTTGGTAGAGCATTGGCCTTTGGGCCTGAAGGTCATGGGTTCAAGCCCACCATAAGACCTACTTCACGACTCCCACTGATGACTGCTGTCGTTGTGTCCTTGGGCAAGACACTTAACCCCACTTTGCCTGAAGCTCCCACTGAAAGATCTCAGCTCCTGTGGACTCACCACCTGCAGGAGGATCAGTGAGGGGCTGGTGCTCTGTGTACTGGGTGCAGCTCTGACTGCCCCCCCCCCCCCCCCCCCCCCCCCCCCCCCCCCGACCCAGAAATGGATTAAGGGGAAGAGGATGGATGGATGGATGGAGTCATCAGAGGCCAAAACCACAGGGCCTCGGGCAGTTTTACCCACGGCTGGAGGAGTTGCAAAGTTCCTTTAAAAATGATTTATTTTTCAAGTGTATTTTATAAACATCCATTGCCGTAGTATGCAGTAGTGCTGCAGTACAAAGAGATAAAAAAGCTTTAGTAAAAGAACTGACAGTGACAACAATGTATCAGAATCCAAAATATAAAAATGATTATCAGAATTTAGATAAAAGAACGATTCAGTTCAACAGTAGTAATTAGCATAAATGAATGAATGAATGAACACAATCCCGTACCACATGAACCCCGTGTTGTACAGGAACCCGATGCAAACAAAATGTCTGAGCCAGACGTGTCGTCTGTGAATGAATGAAGCAGTCTTTGGATGCAGATACAACTAATTGTGAGTTTTCATGAGTTTCTCCTCGGTTACAGCCTGACGACGGCCTCACGTACACAGCTGGGGAGTTGCAGTCTTCCTCCGGGTCGACCACAGCGAGACTCAGGAGAGACCGAGACTCGTACACAAAGGTCTGGTACTGTCACTGCGAATGAGGACCCAGCTCTGAACCCAAACGCTTCCATCAACTCCTCGCTCTGAAGAAATGTGTTTGTTTTCTCTGTTGTTTGCTATGAAATAAAATACTTTAAACTCATTTTTTTTGTTTTTGGAGGAAACTTCAGATATTTGTGTTTTTCGGGTCAGATACTCGTTTTTATCGGAGAATAACTTACATTTGTTAAAGCAAGTAAGAAACCTATCAAAGCTTGGGTTGTTCTTACATACACCTAAAATACATGTCAATAAATCAGGAAGATTTTAGCCTCAGAGTATTAAAGTGGATGAAGAGAAAACATCTCCAGGTCTAAGACTTTGACGTTTCTTTAAATAAGACAGAGTGTAAAGAAACTTCCTGATTTCAGTCGCCTTTTGCTTCCATCTGTTGTATTTATGTTCTTCCATTCAGACTTAAGTACACTGGTAGCAGGTACCATCAACAGAGACGAGGGGGGCCTTCACCTTGGCTCACACTTGGGACTCACTTCTCCAGAGGCCACAGTCCGGCGGGGGGGGGCGTGGTCAGTCTGACGTTTCAAGCTTTAAACATAAAGAAGACATAATACACTTTTTTAAATTCATGTCCAGGTCTGTTTTGTGTTTATCGTCATTGAACTGATGAAGAAAAGCAGATTATTTTCACAGCTTCAGTGAAACCACAGGCTCTCTCAGCAGCAGTGCATCATGGTCCGTCAGACATGTTCACATTCTGCTGCCAAAGCCACACAGGACTGAAGGCTGTGGTTTGAAGGGTGTATCTCTGCATCTGTACTGACTCTTTTGCTTTGGTCATATCCGGTTGGAGCCGGTGCTTTTCTCTCACAATGTTCAGTTATTATAGAAGACAGAAACATAAAGTATTAGATAATGTCAGATTAAAGTCGTTCTTTTAGACACTGGACAAATTTCAGTTGTAGAAGTTAGCAGCATGTTTAAATGGTGTCTAAAAGATTCAGTTATAGATCTTAAAAACATTTGATAATCTGTCATTGGAGGAAGAAACTGGACTTTACTACAGAAGAGCTTAGAACTTATTTGGAGACATTATATTTGTTGTTAAGCAGCGGGTAGAAAGATATCTTCTAAGTGCCAATGAGAGCTCCAATTATAACTACATGTGCAAGAGATTTGGGCAGTATCAGTCATAGTCCGCTGTTTGCTAATGCCAAACCACAAGTACTATTTTGCGAAATAAACTAGAAATAACAGAAGAAGACAGGCACTGTCTGGAGCTGGATCAGGACTCGGAGCCTCTACAGTCCATGGTTCAGACCCCAGACTTGGTCCCAGTGAAGTCAGGAGACTCTGTGACCCTCAGCTGCTCATTCAACACCAGCTGATATTCAGGACAAACCAGCGTCACTTGGATTAGAAGTGGTTTGAAGTTGGAGATTATTGCACGTAACTCTAAAATATTCTGTGGGAGCGCTGGAGAAACTTCTTGTGTTCATAATCTGACTCTGAAAGATGTAAAGTCCAGGTAAGAAAGGACCTACCTCTGTGTGGTGTCCGCCTGTGTTTCCAACCGACTTTACAAAGATCAGAGAATCAAACCATTCAAATACAGGAAATGCAATTATAATGAACACAGAGAGGCCTTTGCCCATGGGGTTTAAGATGACCAATGTCCATGAGTGTAAATTAATGTGCAAAAATGTCCAAAAGCAACTTTCCACTTCGGCCTATTGTATGTAGCATAGACTCTATCACCTACAACCTAGCTAAACACCTCAAAACCATTCTGGCTCCGTTGGTGGGTAACACCCACCATCACATAGAAAACACAAAAGAATTTGTAAATAAAATCAAACACCTCCAGTTTGACACAGATGAGACAATGGTCTCGTTTGATGTGACATCGCTTTTCACGTTGGTCCCTATTACAGAGGCGGTGGAGGCTGTAAGAGAAAGCCTACAGAAAGACGCCACACTAGGGGAGAGAACGAAACTAACAGCTGACCACATCTGTGAAATACTTGAAATGTGTCTTAACACCACGTATTTCCAATTTAGAGGCACCTTCTTTAGACAGATTCATGGCTGTGCGATGGGCTCCCCAGTCTCTCCTATAGTGGCCAATCTGTATATGGACAAACTGGAGGAACAAGCCCTGGGCTCTTACCAAGGGACAGCGCCAAGCCATTGGTTTCGATATGTAGACGATACATGGGTTAAGTTAAAGAAACAGGAAGTGGAACCATTTTCAGAAAACATTAATTCGGTGGACCCTTTTATAAATTTCACTCGCGAGGATGCTAAGGAGAGTGAACTGGCCTTTCTAGATTGTAAGGTCATCATACTGGAGAACGGACAATTAGAGACTGAGGTCTTCAGAAAGTCCACTCACACTGACCAGTACCTGGCCTTTGATTCAAACCATCCGCTACAACACAAACTCGGGGTCATTAGAACGCTTCAACACCGAGCCCACCAGGTCCCCACAAGCTCGGAAGGAAAGAACAGAGAAACCAAACATGTTCAGAGAGCACTTTCCAGATGTGGCTACCCCAAGTGGTCTTTTACTAAAGCCCAAAGGACAAGAAAGGCCAGAGACACAGTCCAACAGACAGAAGAAAGTAGGAGGAGAGGGGTGTCCTTACCGTATGTGGCGGGAGTTTCAGAGAAACTACAAAGAATCTTTAGGCAACACAAAATCCCTGTGTATTTCAAACCTTTCAACACGTTAAGACAGAAATTAGTGCATCCCAAAGACAAAACACCCAGACACAAACAGAGCAATGTGGTGTATTCAATTAAATGTAGTGAAGAGGAGTGCACTGACCACTATATTGGAGAAACCAAACAAACTCTACAGAAACGACTTTACCAACATCGTAGAGAAAACTCTAGTGGGCCACAGTCGGCTGTTCATCTCCACCTCAAGGCCTCCAACCACACGGTGGATGACACCGAGGTTAAAATTCTGGCTCGGGAGAAGAATTGGTTTGAGAGAGGGGTGAAAGAAGCCATTTTTGTGAGGAAACAAAAACCTTCTCTTAACAGAGGAGGAGGGTTAAGATTTGTTTTGCCTCGCATCTATGACGACATCCTAAAAACAACGCCCTAACTTGGGACAAGGTCAGTGACATGCTAATGAGTTAGGAGGGGTGAGACCTGCACTCCACTTGAGCATCCCAGCAGACAATAGGTCTGTGACATGCTAAGGAGTTAGGGTCGTTAGCCTCAGCAGGGTCGTTAGACCTGCTCCCTTCTACATCAAGCAGACCTTAGATTGTTTACGAGTTAGTATCAGGATTAGGGTGTGGCTTACCACACCCATAGGTTATAAATCTCCAACGCGCGGTCCGAGAATTCATTCCCTGAAGAAGTCCGCTAGGTTGAGGACGAAACGTCGGGAAAACTTGCTAAGAAGTACAGATGATGGGTGAGAAACCTTCCTTTGCATATCCTGGGGTAGTGGCAAAGTGTCGGTAGTCAGAAGACTGGGGGAGAGCAATGTCGGCATGCCATGAGAATATGTATAACTCCAATATACATGAATCATAATGAAAACAGCTTTGAGTGTGAGAATGACTACAACATTTCATAAACCTGAGAAACGTCGATGTTTATGTTATGTCCCCTTTAAGTTACGCACCAGTGCAGAGAGAGGTGTCGCAAGAGGGGAAGCGCTTCAGAGATGGTTTCGAGGTTTAGTTCAACCATATCTTTTCAGAGATCAACTCATGAGCCTTTGCAAGACATTTGCACAGTCGTGCTTCCAAGTCAGCATCAACTCCTTTCGTCCAATCAGAATGCTCCGCTCCCCACCTTATATTTCCACCCTGCCCACATCCAATCAGTCTTCTCACGATGGTGATGCTGAACGCTGTCCTCCTCCCTGTGCTCTGGGCGCTGTGTGAGTTTGAGCAGATCTGCAGAGAAAACTGGGACATTTACAGACTTTTCAGAACCTGTGTGTTGTTTTTGTGTTGTTTTTCAGGTGCGGCACAGACACGACAAGTTCAGCAGCTCGAATGTTTGAAAAGGGCAAAGCTCGGAGAGACCGTGGTTCTGAAGTGTCTGACCAAGAGTGTTTGGAGGAACAGGGTTTGGTATAAACAAAGCACCAACAGGAATCTGCATCTGATCGCGTCAACAAATATGGTCAATGAAGAAAAAGAGTTTGATGATATTTCAGTGACGTCTATTCCAAATGAAACCAATTTGACCATAAAGAACATGAGAACAGACCATGTCGGCACCTACTACTGTGGAGTACCGAATTCTAATGAAGTTGCTTTTGGATCGGGCACTGTTCTGGAGCTGGATCAGGACTCAGAGCCTCTACAGTCCATGGTTCAGACCCCAGACTTGGTCCCAGTGAAGTCAGGAGACTCTGTGACCCTCAGCTGCTCATTCAACACCAGCCGATGTTCAGGACAAACCAGCGTCACTTGGATTAGAAGTGGTTTGAAGTCTGAGATTATTGCACGTAACTCGGGAAATGAGAATATATTCTGTGGGAGCGCTGGAGAAACTTCTTGTGTTCATAATCTGACTCTGAAAGATGTAAAGTCCAGAGAAGAGGGGACCTACCTCTGTGTGGTGTCCGCCTGTGGACACACTCTCACTGGGACAAGGATCCATGTGAACGGTACGGAAAAGATATCTTATATGTGTCTCTTTCACCTCTTGAGGGAATCAGGAAGTTACTTCTTTGATAAAACTGTAACAATAGTCAAAATACATTTCTCACAAAAAACTTCCTAGAAAAACCTTCTATAAGCTCAAGTTTTATTTATTTTAATAATTTCATCCATTGAAAACACATTAGTGGAAGTTCTGTTGCACCAAGAACCACTTTTGGACCAAGAGCCACTTTTGGACCTGAGCCACTTTTGGACAAAGTGCCACTTTTGGACCAAGAGCGAGATTTGGACCAAGAGCCACTTTTGGACCAAGAGCCACTTTTGGACCAAGAGCCACTTTTGGATCGAGAGCCACTTTTGGACTAAGAGCCACTTTTGGATCGAGAGCCACTTTTGGACTAAGA